CGTTTACTCAGGATTTGTTCAAATCTTACAATGCATATCTCAGGCCTGTCTGATATTTAGTCATAGGGGTTGATATTTTTGTAAAAAAACTTTGCAAGTATCCATGTATTATCTCAACAGCAAAACATATATATTCTCAAACCATAAATGTAACACGACTGCCTAAATGGCTACTGCTAAAACAGTATATAAATTGCAATTTTCTCCAAATCCGTTTCTTCCATCGCTTGAAATTAGGTATTCTGATGCCACTGCTATCGTTGTAAATAAAATTTATTACATTACTCTTGGAGTGAGATAATAACTTTCGCATATTGCAAAAGTTATTGTGGGATCGTTTGTCAATCAACACCGTCGACACTCGAGAATCGGTACGTTTAATTCCAAACCTTCTAAGCGGCGAAACTTGCATTTGTTACGTAATAATATGCTCTATGGAGCTGGCCCAGACTCAAATACTCTATGTGTGAGCATACCATATTTTGCGCATGTAGGGCAGGCTACGCCGCTACAATACAGTATTCTTCCTATTTGAAAACACAAAACATAATTATGCTGTATGAAACTGGTTCAAGTCAGTTTTTAGAGGTATGTTATTAAATTCACTCAACATCTGACGTGATCCACTACTCGAGAGGTGGCGATCGACGTGTTGGCCACCCCGGTATAGGCAAACTGAGCCTATCTGCCGTTCTCATGCACATCCTGGAGCTGAAGCGTCGCGACAATTAATTTAGTTTTCTGACAATAAGGGACATGCGATATTGTTTTGAGTGAAAACATAAACAGTATTGGTATGATACATAATGCCTCAAAATAATTCATTTTCATATATAACGAGTAACAAACGAATTTCAAATGTCAATTCCGAATAGTTCATTAACATAATTTTGCCCTTCAGTTTTTAACCCTAATAGAATGTTTGGATAATAAAAGAGTTCCTAACGTTTCAGAAAAGAAAATGATACTGCTTCCTAGACTAAATAAATTGTACTCTGTCAAGTAAATTGATCTCAGGCGCAGAGCAAAGTCGCATTAAAAAACATCGGTATTGTTCATGTTAGCTAGCCTCAGCTAATAGAAATTATTGGTAAAGTTGAAGGATGAACATTAAGTAAAACTCAATGCAGAATTACTTTAGATGGGGTCAGGAAATATGCTCAATCAGCATCGTCTTTAAGTTGAAGCGGCACAACTAGCGAATAAAACGCGTATAGACCGTTCATTATCATTTCCTTGGCCTTTGAAGGGGATCCTATCCCGAAGTGTTGACCGCGAGGTAATTTTATTCATATAAATGTTACTGGGAAATAGTTGTACGAAGCCATATTTTTGGGCGATCAGCGTTTTGTTACAAGAGGCTGTTTGTTTTGTGTGATACTGATATTTCATAAAAGTTATTTTACTTTTGCTCACATTTTTGTTTACTGTCAAGATGTCAGTTCAGATTTTTGTCGGTGTCGGTTTATAGTCGATTGTTTTACGTTCCCGCACACACAGGGCAAAATAAGCACGTGTTTAGGACACCACAGAGATTTCCATAGGCAAATTTTCAATGGTGCATCAGAGTTTAATTAAATAACTCGAGTTGGTCAGACGATCCTCAATATTGGCCTGGTAATATAAAAATGTTTGCATATTTTTCTTTCTGGAGTATAATTAATCATAACTAGGCCTTCAATTTGTAATGAATACTGAAATTTAGCTACCGTATTCAACATCATATAACATAGAACACTAGTTTCACTATTATCATTATTTATATATAGCCCAATATAGGTCACCAAAGTCTTAAGTGCTTAGGGCCTCTAAAAGGCATGTGCCTGCAAAGTTTACATGTATATATATGTTTTTGATGGAGCAAATTTATAATGTTGGTCTTCAACGAAGACATAGCGAAACGCATCGCCTGTGTCATTTCACATTAATAGAGGCTTTCGAAATAGAAAGAATTGCACCACAAACCAAGCTTTGCAGCGCAATGGGATTGGAATTGCTTTCACGAACCATATTGAACTGAATTGAAAGCGAGTTTCGCGAGCCGCAAATCACTCAAAATTGGCACTTCTCCGCGGACTGCACACTTTTTTCTTGTGTGTCGCATTTGGCCCGCGGACCGCAGGTTGTACACCCCTGTTTTATACGATTACTCATTGTGGAACGATATTAACTGTATCGAATTTAAACGTTTTGTTTTGGCTGTCTAATACAAAGTTAACAAATAGCACGCCTACTGCTTTCAAATTTTTAATTTCTCTTCTAACACTATTTTTTAGTGCTTTCTTATAGTCACCGTCGAGTTTAGGTCAAATTTTGCAGACAAAAAGGTATATTCTATATGCCAACGAAGGAAGATATTTATAGGCACAATCATATTAAATTGATTGAATTTCGAGCATTCGGGCAAAACTATTATTATTAGTTGTGAATCGTGTTTAACTCAGAATCTTTTAATTAGGACGAAACAAGTTGATCATAGCAATCCATTTTCTAACTATTAGCTTTGCGCGTCGTTAGCGTGGCAGGCCATAAAACATATTGTTTTGATCGGACAATCAAGGTTAGATCTCCTGCCGTGCTTGATAGTACATTAACTTAGGAACCTAATTACTTATATATATATAAAAGCAGGTCACAATTTGTAATAAGGAAGGGGTGAGAGTTGAGACAGAAAGGAAAGTATATATCCATAAGATACAGTGGAATTGTGACGATCAAGTTGGTAATAATATATCTATTGTGTGCTGGTGAAGTCTGATATCTTTGTATTCGTTGTTGGGAATTGGAATAGGGCAATCGCAGAAAGAGGATGCGATAGCGATCGAGCTAAGGATTGGACCGCTCCAATCTGCCTTCACACAATACAACAGGAAAACATTCTATTATATTAGCTATAAGGTCACCTTCAAAATTCACAACCATTTTTCAGAACAAACCGTTTCTTTCAAGTAATCCAGTAGAAGTCGGGATTCCCCGGTGATTTGTTGGTCTTTTGGCTCATCAATACATGACATAGAGATCCTTACTCGTTAGATACCAGTGGCTACGTGTATCCGGTATTGCTCGGAGCGAAAGGCCCGAGTAAGCAACGCATTAAAAAAAATTTTGCTAGCTTTTAGTTGTGTTTGCAATATTTAATAAATACCGTAAACCAAATAACTCGATAGTCATTCTATCTATCGATGAATTTATGTTTTGTTGCAGTACTTTACAGTAATTAGAATTCAATCCCAAAAAAGCGGCGACTGACTCTTCCGAAACTGGCTACCGTGTTTCCCCGAAAAATGATTTTATTATAAGCCCTCTCCTAAAAATAAGACCTAGTCATAACGCGATTTTTTTTATCTAGTCAATAGCAAGAAATCTCTCCTACACGTTTTGAATGATTAATATTAATCTATGTTTTGCAGTTATTTTTGAATAAAAACTGTTGTTTATAAGTAAATGGATATCGGTTTTTATATTTTGTATATTTGGAAATCTCGTAATTCTATACTTTGTAGTTTTGTTTTTGATAAAGGAAAATATGAGACATCCCCCGAAAATAAGCCCTAGTGTTATTTAAGAAAATTGAATTGAGGCCCAATCTTATCTTTGGGATTACACGGTATTAGCACTTCTAAATAAATGGCCGGCGGTTAAATATTTAGAAGCAAAATCACGGTTTTGACACGTAAACCAGTTTGTAAACGCCAACTCGCGGAAACGATATCAAAATAAGCAAGGTGGTAAAATTTCCGGAGTCAAATGTCGGTCATTGCATTTGGATGAGCAGCGGCTCTCTTATCGCAGATCTGTGATTATGCAGCGATGAGAAAACAAACGAGTCGACGCTTGAACGGAATTCATCTTGCCAGTTTTGAAACAAAAAATGGCATTGTATCACAGGCATACACCAACCTTTTTTTTGTTCGAAACTTTGGGTTAACCCAATACCTCCACTTCCAGTCAGTAAAAATTTTGTCTCCAACGTTTAAAAACCTGAATTAATGACTTAGACCAGGGGTGGGCAAATTACGGCCCGCGGGCCGGATCTGGCCCACCGCAGTGTTTCATCCGGCCCACTTGTGAAATTATGACTATAGTTTTTATGAATTTAGATTTCCGTTGAAAATATCACTTAAATACCGGATCGTCGGTTAAAGTAATTATCGTAATTCCTCACGTATTATCAGCACTGAATATAACGTACAAAACCATCCATCCGAATTCTTTTTGCCATTCAAAAATTTTAGCACCTGGTATATCAGCATTTGGGCCTGCCATTTTTTTTCGTGAGTTTGTGAATGCGCCAACACATGTTACATCGATTTTCAAAGTGGGCGATATGGACGACCAGGGAACGAAATAGATAATACAGGGGGTAAAAAATCCCCTTAGTGGTAGGGGGTAGGTTAGGGAAATGGGGTTGCACACTCTCAGTGAGGAAAATTTTTTAATTAAATTGAATATATATATTAAATTGATATGGCAAGATATTTTTAATCCTCGTACTGGTAATGGACTGAATATTTTGCGCAACAGAAAAATCATCACCGGTGAAAAAGTCGGCAATTTTAACAAATGGCGTAATCGCGACGACTATTGCCATTAAAATTTCCGTTTCCGATTTTGAATACAAAATAAGATCAATCAAATATTAGTATATCACTCGCCTTCTAAATCCCAACTTACAGTAATCTCATTCGTAAACGACCGGAATGCGCATCATTTACTCTCTTTCAAAAACCTAGCGTCATAATGACCCTATTTTAACGTTAGCGTAGCTGTTGAGCTTGAGCTTCTTTTTCTATCAAATTTCGCTGCGCAGCTGCAGTAATTTGGCAACCCCCTTGTAATGAAGTCACATTAATCGTTGTATCTAGGTATTTGCAAATAAACATTTTTGATCATCCGTCCCAGTAATCAAGTTTATTTTCCGCATCCGGCCCACTCGGGAAAGTAATTGCCCACCCCTGACTTAGACCCTGTTCTGTATCGATATAAGTACATAAACATACTTGCACAATTCTGAGAGTTTATTTGATGACGTGGCATCACTGAAAATTTTATATTGATTTCATATGTAAAAACATTATTTTTTAGCAGCCTCTGCTTCTGCAGTGTCCAATTGCTTCAGCAAGCGAAATAGTCCAGCCGCTTCTCTTATGCGACTAAACTCTATACAAAATGCTTGCACTTCTATGAACAAGTCTTTGACATTTATAATGCGATTCCGTATCAGTGATTGCAGAAATACACAGACTAAGCGAACTAATCTGTTTTGCATGTATTTATCCTTAATCGTTTCACATGTTGATATGCAATTAGAAATATATAAATGAATAAATTCAGTTGGCAATTCCACTGCTGTGGTTAGTCTGTTAACGACTTCCATTGAATGTAGAGACATCTCCATGTTCACAAGAACTGAAAAATATTCCGTTATTTGGCTAGATTGCATTAACATCAACAGAACCTCAATGGCAACAAGTGGATTGTTTTCAACCAAGTCTGGTAGTTTGGCTGGAGTCAAACCCACATGATAGACCAACTTGGAATCATCGTTTAATTGCGCAAGAAGTTGTTGTTGTTGACCATTCGTTAAAGGATTTTTAAACGCTTTTGTCATCAATTTTCTTACTTCACCTGCTTTGTTTGTATTTTTTGTCATTTGACTGTCCCAGAGGAATTTATGACGTGCAGGCAGAGTTGGGTTCATCCAGACCAATTCATTATCTGGAGGATGTAAAAGTGGAATGGGTCGCACAAAGGTTGGTCTTATGTTTTCTGTCATTGGTGCTGATTTACCAGATAACAAACTTTCAAGGACCTGTTGCTGAACAGGCTTTGAATCCGATGGCGGATCGGCTTTTTGCATATTGGGAGGTTCAGGGTGGGGCATCACACAAGGTATACCAGTTTTGTTTAGCACTGGGAGTTGGGATTGCCGCTCCACTAAAGAAAGTTGCAAACCGCTAACATCATAAACAGATTTTTGTGGGTGAGAAGTATTTTCACCCTCTGAGAACAATACTTGCTTAGGTGTACGTTTAACTAAGTCCTTATTTGGTAATGATATCAGCTGCGACAAAAATGCTTTTTCAGAACTTGACAATGGAGGGAGTTTGCCCATTGCAGGTATTTCATGAGAAATTGTCAAATTTTGTGTGTTTTGCAGCAAGTGTACGAAAACTGTAGCAAAAGGGTTTGAAGCAACTGGTTCCGCTTTGTACATATCATAAAGCAAATATATTGCGGCAAGTCGCTGATTTGGACCAGGAAGTAGATCTCGATTTTGTAGTAACAGAACAATAGATGATCCAACCCGAAAATGATCATGCTTGTTGAATCCAAGACGTTGTAATGCAGAACCGAGGCTGTCAAAAGTGGTTGTGCTAACTGTATCCTCCCGTAGCAGGTTCATGACATGTCCTATTTCTTTTGTGGTCAGTGACATTGTTTTCTCTTGGAGACCCTTCGAGTTATGTTTTTGTCAAATCTAAAGTTAGGTTTTTGTCAAATCTAGAGAAAACACATATTGAGCATCAACTTACTGCTGCATCAGACCATGAAATGAAAAAATACAAGCTTATTTCTCCCAAAGAGTGAAAACCATTTGTATTATTTTACCAACCTCTGGTTCAGCACCAGGATAGGATAGGATTTACATATTTATCCCGGGGGAGAGGAAAGCCGATAAGACGGCTTACCATATGGCGAACCACGGCCTCTCGTCCGGTTACCATTCCAAGTCGGGTATGGGATTAGTTAGTTATACTGTATTGTTTGTTTTCGGAAGCATGGACTTGGTGGTGGAGGAAGCCGTAACCGACCAGCGGACAGCGGTTACGTGAACCACCCAACGACGGCGAGGAGTCCAGCAATCCTCTCGCACATAACCATCCCTGCATGGGATTCGAACCTGCGAACCCACGCAGAGTAATTAGAGGTGCGGTGGCGAGCGTATTCCTAACGCTTAACCCGTTGAGCCACACCGCCGCGCCTAAAGGCACCAACTATACCCAAAGGGTATACCCTGATATTTAAATTTTAGAAGTATATTATAAAGTACTAGCCTATTATCATTACGAAATAATCTTGTTTTTTTCTTTATGATTGACATCAGATATTCAGACTCATTCAACTTCTGGTAATTGTGAAAAAAATAAATCAAAACAAGCTCTATGCCAAGTAATCACAAAAGTGAGTTTATATGATTATACCATATTTTTCTATTTAGAAACTGAAGATTTTGTATTTAAAAATATCCTATTGGGCAATACATATTATTCTGGAATGTATTAGCTGATTACAACTGACCAGTGTTCTGATTCAAGACATGCCCGCAATCAAGATTGATTAAGAAGCAGAGACATGCCAGTGGTGACAATTTTCAATGACAGAACACACAAAATTGCTAACACCCAATATATAATTTAGATATATTCGGATATTACAGTATTAACAAATGCAATATGTTTACAATATTTGTAAAGATTTGACAAAACAGTTAGGAAGCAAATTTAACCATTCGAAAACAGTATAATAAAGAGTTGACAAAAATTTAAAAGAGTTGACTGTAATACGAGATTGTGCAGTTGTGACAATGAAAACCTGCAGACCCGCCAGAATTCATTTTTAGCTACTGTTGTAAATCTTTTCAGTTTATTTGAAATCTTGTTACTTCTACTCTCCCACATAGTTAAAGCTAACTTCATTTCTCTTTCCTTAATATTATACCGGTACAGTAACAAAATAACGAAAAATTGAAATAGTCAACCTAAACTTACCGGGGTCTGATGTAGTTTCGTACCTAACATACTTCTAGTGGGCCAGACTGGATTCCATGGCAGATGCACGCCCGAGGGCGCTAGCGCTCCACAAAAATGCACGCGAGCGAATTCAATTTTGCACGCTGAAAATTTGCAATTGCTCACCAATGTAAATCGGTTTAAATAGTTTTTAAATCATTAATCTAGTAATATAAAGATGCCAAAAAATTATAACTTTACAATTGTCGACTAATACTTGCTTGCAAGATTTGGCCTGATCGAAAAATGCGAAGCAAAAATCACCATATCGTGTTGAATGATAGGAATCCCGTGAGAAAAATCGCCTCCTCACCGACGCTGGCCAGTTATGGCTCTGATTCAGCGTATTTTTAATACAATAATTTTACACGGATGTACTGAACAGTACCGGTATCTAAAGTCGCACAAGCACTCTCAAAATTAGTGACAAAATATAGAAATGATGTTTTGGGGGTCAAAGGTCAAACGTCCATTTTTGCTATGATCCAACTTATTTTTACGCGGATGTATTGAGAGGTATCTTAGTTCGAAATCAGTTTAGCGGGCGCAGTTGTTTTGCACGCCGTGAGCTATAATTGCACGCCAGAAATTCTTATTTGCACGCGGGAATTTCTGATTGCACGCCAGATTTCTCGTTCGAAAAGGCCATGAAATCCAGACTGGCTAGTGGGCGTAGCATGACATTTTTTTTTTTTTTTAATGGGATAATATAATAAATTATAACAAAAAGTATATAACCATTCGAGCAATCATAAGATAAATAATCCAATATTCATTTTTCATATGTCCATTCCATCAGTGTTTTTTCACGTATCAATCCTGACCCCCAACTGACTACACCATCCAAAAATTACGTCACCACGACATCACAGTGACGTAATAGAGCCCTTCAAACTATACGAACTCCCATCCAAGACGCGCAAACGAGCACCAGAAATCGAGCAGTTATTTCTCTCGTTTTCTCGTCGCAACGATTCCGATAGGAGAGAGATCGATAACGTCAGTCAGTTCTTTATCGCCGGCGCTAATACCAATTGGCCAGTCTGGATTTCATGGCCTTTTTGAACGAGAAATCGGGCGTGCAATCAGAAATTCCCGCGTGCAAATAAGAATTCCTGGCGTGCAATTATAGCTCACGACGTGCAAAACAACTGCACTCGCGTGCAACTGACTTTGACATCAGATACCTCTCAATACATCCGCGTAAAATTACCGGTATCGGATAAAAAATACGTTGAATCAGAGAAAAAATGGACGTTTGACCTTTGACCCCAAACATTATTTCTACAGTTTGTCGCTAATTTTGAGAGTGTTTGTGCGACTTTGGATACCGGTACTGTTCAGTACATCCGCGTAAAATTATTGAATAAAAAATACGTTGAACCAGAGCAAAATGGACATACTTTGTCATTAATTTTAGTAGTGTTTTTACGTAGAATTAATGGATAAAAAATACGTCAAATTAGAGCAAAATGGACGTTTGACCTTTGACCCCAAACATTATTTTCATACTTTGTCACTAATTTTGGGAGTGTTTGAGCAACTTTAGATACCGGTACTGTTCAGTACATTCGTGTAAAATTATTGTATGAAAAATACGCTGAATCAGAGCCGTACTTGGCCATTGGTGCGGAGGCGATCTTTTCGTCCATAACTATTCTCACGGGATTCCTATTTCCTATCATTCAACACGATATGGACCTTTCCCCGAGCATCGACTTCCTTGTTTACTTCGTGACATTGGCCAATCAGCAAGATGCAAAAAAGGACGTAACAATGAGAGGAATTTTTCGCGGGTCAAAGGTTGGGGAAAGGTCCATGGTCTTTTTGCTTCGCAATATTTCGATCAGACCAAATCTTGCAGGCTGGTATTTGTCGACAATTGTGGAGTTATAATATTTTGGCATCTTTATATTACTGGATTATTGATTTTAAAACCATTTAAACCGATTTACATTGGTGAGCAGTTGCAAATTTTCGGCGTGCAAAATTGATTTCGCTCGCGTGCATTTTTGCGGAGCGCTAGCGCCCTCGGGCGTGCACCTGCCATGGAATCCAGTCTGGCCAATTGGGCGATTGTACGTATATTTGGCAAGCTCTATGACGTGATTGTGATGTCGTAGTGACGTAATTTTTGGATAGCGTAATCAGATGGGGGCTAGGATTGAGATATCAAAAAATTGTTATGCTACGTCCACTAGAAGTACGTTAGTTACTGATCGTACGGTACCGGATCAGTCTAGTTCGTTAGTCGTTGGTCTAGTCTAGTTCGAGAATTAGCTTTAAATAAAATAAAAAATCCCCTCGAAATGCACAGCTAAGATCGCACACACAATACGTTAATACCGGTACGGTACCTAGTACCTACTAAAGTGTTATAGTCACTTTGGTACCTACCCTGCGGGCTACCGAATGCGAAAATACCAACTTTCATGACCTTTGACCGATGTTGCCAGCTCCGTTTTTTGTGCTGTTTAGGGGGACACTCGTTGCGTAGCACGTTTCGTCAGGTTTATACTTGTGCGTTGCTTTGACTTGTTTAAATATATCGCTGTGTGTTAGCGTTTTTTCAACAGTCTTTTTCTCATTTATAGATTGAATACAGACTAGCTTGTATATCTGTTATGCATTTGAGCTGCTCTGTTACACAGTCACACAAATCAGACGGAGCTACTCCAAAAGATATGGTACTGGCAGACTGGATTTTCTCATTCAGTCATTGCACTGGAATGCACCGAGCAGGATTTGCCTGATATTTGGGAGCTAAACTTTCCAGAGGAAAGGATTACATACCTAAGAGCTATCTATGAAATGACGTACTTTGCAAAGTAAGAGTAATCGAAATAAAAGTGTATTGTATATTGTAATGAACTGCAAAAGAATGTAATTATATGGAGGGAGAAAGCAGCTATCAAGAAAGGAAATTTCACCTTTGATTAGGTACCGGTACCAATCATGTTTTAATAAGAAGATTACAATTGAAACTTAGGAAAAGGAATGATCCCCCAAGTTGTTGGGACTCTGCATAAATGCCCTACTGGATGTGGAATTTGTTTAATAGATGATCGGGGCTGAAGCCTGGATATCATTTGGATGCATTCTCAGCACGGTAGACCAGAGGATGTCAAACTCGCACCCTTCGAACACTCAACAATATTTATGATATTTTTTATAAAAATGAAATTTTCCATAAATTGATTTGTATAAATTGCAATAATGGTGATATGCAAGAAATTAATAGGTGGATGGCATTTGAAATTTAAGGTGGACTTAATTTTTTGAAGAAAGTTATGTCTCAAATTTACAATAAATTGGGATCTGGTCTTATTACACTGGCTTTGGTTGCAACATCATTGAAAAAGAAACAATTTCTTTATTCAAATTTGAACACAATAATATTTTGCTTAATTTAGAATTCCCAACATAAGTAGGTTCAAAATATATTGCAACAACATGAGAACACAATTCAACTTTCCCAACCAAGAATGCTTAGCAAGGGTACACTTTGTTTGAACTTCACCACAGCTCTTTTTGTGATTGTATAAATAATCACCATCTGAAATATATTGAGAAAAACATACATGATGAATAAGGTGCAATGCAAAATTTTGAATATATTACCTATGTAGAACAGTGAACGAATCATGAATTGTATAAAATGGTGGTGATTTTGGGAATGAAAATGATAGCTTTTACAGTCGCGATGAATTGATTTTGCTTTATCAAATATGACATACCTCAATCACCTCATTCTACACCACCAAAAATCGGGAATTACAGAAAACTGCCTGTACTAAAATACGGGAACAACGGGCAAATTCCCTAAAATAGAGGAGCGGCAAATATACTTTTTTGAGTGTATGTGGGGTATTACACTAGAAAACGTGAGCAACGTGTAATATACACCTGCATAGGATTGCCTAGGATTACAAATTTTCAAATGGAAACTTTCTAAATTTGAACCAATTTTGTTACACAAGAAACAAAACAACGCTCGAAACCAGTTTTCGAGTTTTTATGTTAGACAGATAAGATAATTTTATTTCGACTTCATAATCAGCAAAAAGACGATAAAATGGCTGATAAAAACAAATGAATACAAACTGATTATGAAATCAGGAGAGCAAACAAAACCTTGGACAAGATTTAAAACGTACAGAATATAAGATGGAAGGTATTGCCAAAAAAAGTGGTACGCGTTCACTCACCTAAAACTATTGAATCAAATCATTCACACTCGCACACACAACCATAGGGTTAGCTAACCATTTGTCAGCTATTTACTTCTTAGCTTTGTTTGTTTACAAATAAAACAGCAGCTGATCACTTGCATGTTATTATTGGGATTCGCATTTCGACACAGGTACAGGCATGATGGATAACGAAAGAACAGGATTTGAAAAAAATATATAAACTACTTTGGCATTGCTGTACGGGCTAGCTGCCATTCCAATTTCACATACTTGCTTCGCATAGAACTAAGGAAAAGAAGTGACCAGGCATTTTCAGCATTTTATATAAAACTACATTGCACCTCGTACACTACAGTGCATCATTACGTCGGATTTTATTTATAATAAGGAATTCCATAAAAGAACATTAGATTTGTTTAATACTTATTCTGACATTTTTTTTATTATCTGACAAACCATTTCGCAGTTGTTTACGTCAATTAGCCCTAAAACGGCCCGTGTAAACAAATACGAAACGATAAACACATCCCAATCATGTCCGTCTCGACCTAAACAGTTTTATATTGGAACCCACCGCATCTGCAATTTGTTTGTTACACAAGTTAGACGCCCGAACGATAACACGTTCGTGTTTTTATCTTTTTCATAATATGTTTGTAAGTGTAACATGTGTAAACAGGCACATGCGAATCTACGTGTTTTAAACCTTACTAGATTGAGGTTTTGTCTGTTTTTCCGATTTTCCATCATTCTGTGTGTTTATGTTTTGTGTTCATTATTTGTTTTGTGAATGTTTTTGGGGGATGATTG